ACAACTATCCAAAATCTATGGGACACAGCAAAAGCGGTTTTGAGAGGGAAGTTCATATCCATACAAGCCTATTGCAAAAAACAAGAAAAATGGTAACAAATTATCTAACGCCACAACTCAAAGAGTTAGAAAAAGAGCAACAAGAAAAGCCCAGTGTAAGCAGAAGGAAGGAAATAACAAAAATCAGAGAGGAGATAAATGACACAGAGACCAAAGAAACAATACATAACATCAACAAAACCAAGAGCTGGTTCTTTGAAAGGATAAACAAGATAGATGAACCTCTAGCCAGGCTAACCAAGAAACAAAGGGAGAGGACCCAAATAAACAAAATCAGAACGAAAGAGGTGAAATAACAACAGATCCCTCAGAAATACAAAGGATTGTTACAAAATACTACGAACAACTCTATTCCAACAAACTGAACAACCTGGAGGAAATGGACATATTCCTAGAAAAATACAACCTTCCAAAACTCAATCAGGAAGAATCTAAAAATCTCAATACACCAGTGACGTGGGAAGAAATTGAAACAGTCATCAAAAACCTTCCAGCAAACAAAAGCCCAGGGCCAGATGGCTTCATGGGAGAGTTTTACCAAACATTCAAGGAAGAACTAAAACCTATCCTCCTCAGACTATTCCAAAAAACTCAAGAGAAAGGAACACTTCCAAACTCCTTCTATGAGGCCAACATCACCCTAATACCAAAACCAGATAAAGACAACTCAATGAAAGAGAATTACAGGCCAATATACCTCATGAACTTAAATGCCAAAATCCTCAACAAAATTCTAGCAAATCGACTCCAGCAGAACGTCACAAAGATCGTACACCATGACCAAATAGGATTTATTCCAGGAATGCAAGGATGGCACAATATCCGCAAATCAATAAACGTGATACATTACATAAACAAATTGAAAGATAAAAATCATATAGTCATATCAATTGATGTAGAAAAAGCATTTGATAAAATCCAACACCCTTTCCTGATAAAAACTCTCAACAAGGTGGGAATACAAGGCTCATACCTCAACATAATAAAAGTTATATATGATAAACCCACAGCCAACATTATACTCAATGGGCAAAACCTAAAATCATTCTAAGAGACAATTAGACAAGAAGAGGAAAGAAAAGGCATCCGAATTGGAAAAGAAGAAGTAAAGTTATCCTTATTTGCAGATGACATGATATTGTACATAAAAAAACCAAAAGACTCCATAAAAAACTAATAGACTTAATAAATGAATTTGGCAATGTAGCAGGATACAAAATTAACGCCAAGAAATCTATGGCATTTCTATACACCAATAGTGAACTTGCAGAAACAGAGACTAAAAAGGCAATCCCATTTACCATCGCACCAAAAAAATTAAGATACCTTGGAATAAATTTAACTAAGGAAGTAAAGGACCTATATGTGGAAAACTACACAACACTGAAAAAAGAGATAGAGGAAGATGTAAACAGATGGAAAAACATACCATGTTCATGGATTGGTAGAATTAACATCATCAAAATGTCCATACTTCCCAAAGCAATCTATAGGTTCAATGCACTCCCAATTAAAATACCAACGGCATATTTCACTGACATAGAAAAAACTCTTCAAAAAAGTTCATTTGGAACAACAAAAGACCCCGAATAGCCACAGCAATCCTGAGAAAGAAGAGTAAAGTAGAAGGGATCTCAATATCAGATTTCAAGCTGTATTACAGAGCCACTGTTCTCAAAACAGCCTGCAACTGGCACAAGAACAGACATATAGATCAATGGAATAGAATCGAGAACCCAGATATCAACCCAAATCACTATGCTCAATTCATATTTGACAAAGGAGGCACGAACATACAATGGAGTCAAGACAGTCTCTTCAATAAATGGTGTTAGGAAAATTGGACAGACACAGGCAAAAGAATGAAACTAGATCACCAACTTACACCATACACAAAAATAAACTCAAAATGGATACAGGACTTAAACAGAAGAGAGGAAACCATAAAAATACTAGAGGCATCCACAGGCAGCAAAATCTCAGACATATGCCAAAAGAACTTCTTCACTGATACTGCCCCTAGGGCAATGGAAGCTAAAGAGAAAATAAACAAATGGGACTACATCAAAATAAAAAGCTTTTGCACAGTAAAAGAAACCATCAACAACACAACAAGAAAGCCCACTATATGGGAGAACATATTTGCAAATGTTATCACTGATAAAGTTTTAATCTCCAATATCTACAGACAGCTTATACAACTAAATAAAAGGAAAATGAATGATCCAATTAAAAAATGGGCAATGGACCTAAATAGAATATTTCCAATAGAAGACAAAAGGATGGCCAAGAGGCACATGAAAAAAAGCTCAAAGTCACTAATTATCAGAGAGATGCAAATCAAAACAACAATGTGGTACCATTTCACACCTGTCAGAATGGCCAACATCTACATATCAACAAACCACAAGTGTTGGCGAAGGTTGTGGAGAAAAAGAAACCCTTGTGCACTGCTGGTAGGAATGTAGACTGCTGCAGCCACTGTGGAGAACAGTATGTAGCTTCCTCAAAAAACTGAAAATAGAATTCTCATTTGACCCAGTATTCCCACTTCTAGGAATATATCCCAAGAAGCTAGAAACACCAATCAGAAAGGATATATGCACCCCTATGTTCATAGCAACACAATTTACAATAGCTAGGATTTGGAAACAGCCTAGATGCCCATCAGCAGATGATTAGATCCAAAAACCTTGGTACATCTACACAATGGAATATTATGCCATAAAAAAGAAGAAATTCTCATCATTTGCAGCAACCTGGATGGAATTGGAGAACATCATGCTGAGTGAAATATGCCAGTCAATGAAAGAGAAATACCACATGACCTCACTCATTTTTGTATGATAAAGAACATTATAAATTGAAGAACCAAAAGATAGATATAGAGAAAGTAAAGCAACAAGCAGACTGTCAAATTACAGTGGGGAGGGGGGGAGATCTGGGGTAGATAAGAGATCAACTGAAGGACTTGTATACATGCATATAAGTATAAGCCATGGATACAAAACTCTGGGGAGGGAGGGCATGTATTGGGGGTGGGGGGGCAATGGTATATGTACAAAGATAATAATTTAATAAAAAAATTTAAAAAAAGAAAAACTCTACAGGCCAGAAGTGAATGGCATAAAGTACTCAAGGTAATGGAAACCAAGATTAGTATATCCAGCAAGGCTATCATTCAAAATAGATGGTGATATAAACAGCTTCCAGACAAAAAAGGCTAAAGGAGTTTATCACCATCAAGTCAGCATTAAAAATTTTGCTAAAGGGACTCTTATATTGAAAGAAATAGAGAGAGAAACCTAGGCATACAGAATTAAAATGGTGATAAATAAATGCCTCTTGATAATAATCTTAAATGTAGAATGATTAAATGCTCCAATCAAAAGACATAGGGTAGCTGAATGGATAAAAACATATAATCCAACTATATGCTATCTACAAGAGACCCACCTCAGAATAAGACACATAAAGGATGAGAGTGAAGGGATAGAAATAAATTTTCTAAGCAAATAGAAAATATAAAACAGCTGGGGTAGCAATGTACCTATCTGACAAAATAAACTTCAAAACAAAGGCCATCACAAGAGACAACAAAGGTCACTATATAATAATAGAAGGATTGACCCAACAAGAGGATATAACCCTATTAAATACACACACACACACACACACACACACACACACACACACACACAAATATATAAAACAACTTTTACAGGACTTTAAGGGAGAAATTGACAACAATACAATCACAGTAGGGGACTTTAAAACCCCACTGACTTTACTGGATAGATCTTCAAGACAAAAAATTAACAAGAAACAGTGACTCTAAAGGACACACTGGATCGGATGGACTTAATTGACATTTATAGAACATTTCATCCCAATACACATTCTTCCCAAGTGCACATGGATCATTCACAAAGATAGATCACATGTCAGGACACAAAACAAGTCTCTTCAACTTCAAGAAGATTCAAATCATATCAAGCATTTTCTCAGAAAACAGTGAAATGAAATGAGAAATCAACTACAGTAAAAATACCCATAAATACTCATACACATGGTGGCTAAGTAGCATGTTATTAAACAATAAATGCGTGCCAAGACCGGTTTGGCTCAATGGATAGAGCGTCGGCTTGGGGACTGAAAGGTCCCGGGTTCGATTCCGGTCAAGGGCATGTACCTTGGTTGCGGGCATATCCCCAGTGGGGGGTGTGCAAGAGGCAACTGATCGATGACTCTCTCTCATCGATGTTTCTAGCTCTCTATCTCTCGTCCTTCCTCTCTGTACAAAATCAATAAAATATATATTATAAAAAAAAAAAAAGATCCTCTCATCATTGATTTAAAAAAAAAACACAATAAATGCGTTACCAATGAGATCAAGAAATAAATTAAAAACTTTCTGGAAACAAATTAAAATGAACACACAACACCCATCATTTGGTCATGATGCCATAATGGCGACATGACAACAAGCCTTTTATGACACAGATAGTGCTCTATAAAAGTACAAGCTAATCAAGTAAACAATGAGAAACACAAATTTTAGCATGGCCTGTAATAATGTCAACTTAAATCCAGAAAATCCAAACACCTCCCTTGCACCCTAATTGCCAATCTTCCTTCCAAGTATTCTGGTTAAACTACTCACAGGTAAATTTATTCCTCCTCTCTTGAAAGGGCTGGATGGTTAGCAATGAAATGATCAAGTCCAAAAGGTAGAAAAATAAACTCAATGAACATATAAAAATATATAAACCAAGAAAAGTCATTTCATAACTTACTTATTGGTTGATGACTACACAAGAGCCCTGATTCTTTATTTATTTTCCTTAAAACACTCCCCTCCGGTTTTAAATGTATAAAAATGTATTCATCAATAATTCTTGGTCATATGCTAGGCAATATTTGAGAGAGAGAATTCTTACCTCTTTAGCTGATATTGATTTAAGTTCTTCTGGATCCAATACATCTATCCTGAGTTTCTCAAATTTTTTCCGAAATTCAGTATAGATTTGGTCATCCACTTTGGTGAGTTTCAGGAACTGTGGGTCAACTGATGAAATCAACTGCCAGACATTAAGACAACATACATATGCTAGTCTCAAATTTACTACACTTCTATTCCCCCTTCCTCAAAAAACTTATAGTTTTCGGGGCAGAAGAGTTCATTAGGAAGTATATAAACAGCTTAGGTTAGAGATGAAATCGTGAGATAGTTTTAAAGGGTCATAATACCTACAATACATTTCACCAATTCAAATACTTTTGGCTTTGGCACTGCCTGGCTATTGCCCTCTGTGATTCATCCATTCAGTCAACAAATATTAATTAAGTACTGACTATGGACCCAGCACCCTTTTCTTAGTTAGCAACAGAAATATGGGAAAAGAAGCTCAACTCCTCATTGTCAATACAAAATTCACTTCCACACCCCTTTTCTCGGTAGGTAAGATCTTACAGTAATAAAAATGATCTCCAAAACACAACTGTTTAAATTGTGACAATAGTGATTAGCAGAAAATCAAACAGTACATGTTCAATTCTGCTTAATAATGATGACAGACAGCTCACCTTGTAGTAGACTTCAGCATGCTGCATTGCTCTCATGGCCCATGCCATCTCAATATCAGGCTGCAAGGGAGAAAAAAATATCAGGTCAGGGACATTAAAAATGGCGTCAGGGTAAGTAGATGCTGTACGAACATGCTCCCAGGGCCAAATGGAAATTACAACTAAAATACAGAAAAATTTCCTGAATAATCACTATAAGATTCACTAGTGAGAACCTTGATAACCAAAGATGGAAAGTAGAGACCGCATAAAGACTGAGAGGAGGGGCAGAGGCACAAAAGGATTGGCCAGGCTTCCACAGACAGCAACTAAAGCTCCGGAGAGAGAGAATCCAAGATGGTGGCATAGGTAAACATCTAAACTGCTGCCTCACACAACAACATCAAAACTACAACTAAAAGGGGGTGGAGGGGTGATGGCATATGTAGGGAGGGGTTTGGGATGGGATTGGGGGGATGAGGACAATTATGTGATACCATAATCAATAAAAAAAAATGGGGGGGAAAAAAAACAACTAAAAGACAAAACAGACATCAATCAGAAAGGATTTATGCACCCATAGGTTCATAGCAGCACAATTTACCATAGCTAAGATTTGGAAACAGACTAGGTGCCCATCAGCAGATGATTAGATTAGAAAACTATCATACATCTACACAATGGAATACTACGCTGCCATAAAAAAAGAAGGAATTCTTACCATTTGCAGTAACCTGGATGGACCTGGAGAACATTATGTTAAGTGAAATAAGCCAGGCAATGAAAGAAAAATACCACAAGATCCCATTCATTTATGGAAAGTAACGAACATTATAACCTGATAAATAAAAAGTTAGATACAGAGGCAGTAAAGCCCTGAACAGACTGTTAAATTACAGAAGGAAAGCTGGGGAGTGTTGGGGAGGGAGAGAAATAGATAGATAAACCAATGACTTATATGCATGCATATTAACACACCTATGGACATAAGACACTGGAGGTGGGGGGTGGGATGAAGGCATGTGATAGGGAGTAGGGGAGGCTGGGAAGGTCAATGGGAGGAAAATAGGAGATATATCGAATATATACTACTATATGTAATTTTAAAAATAAAAAAATGGGGAAAAAGCAAACATACTAAGAACAAAAGATAGATAGATAAGATAGATAGATAGATAGATAAAAATACAAATAAATAAAAGACATATTTCCAGGTGTGGGGTATGGGTGGCGGTGGGCAAAGAGGGAGAAATGTGGGACATCTGTAATAGTGTCAACAATAAAAAGTAAAATAAATAAAACAACAAAAAATAACAAAAAAAGAAACAGTCCTCATATGAAAGAAAATAAGGCATCACAAGAAAAGTACCTAAATGGAATCTTTTTGAAAGAAGACAGAAGGAAGGCCAAGAGACATATGAAAACACCCTCAAAGTAACTGTTTGAGAGATGCAAATCGAAACAACAATGTGGTACCATCTCACACCTGTCAGAATGGCTATCAACCAATCAACATACGACAAGTGCTGATGAGGATGCAGAGAAAAAGGAACTCTCATGCACTGCTGGTGGGAATGCAGACTGGTGCAGCCACTGTGGAGAACAGTATGGAGTTTCCTCAAAATATTAAAAATGGAACTCCCATTTGACCCAGTAATCCAACTTCTAGAAACATATCCCAACAAACTAGAAACACGAATCAGAAAGGATATATACACCCCTATGTTCATAGCAGCACAATTCACCATAGCTAAGATTTGGAAACAGCCTAAATGCCCACCAGCAGATGAGTGGATTAAAAAACTGTGGTAGAGACAAAACTGATTTGGCTCAGTGGATAGAGCGTCGGCCTGCAGACTGAAAGGCCCAGGGTTTGATTCCAGTCAAGGGCATGTACCTTGGTTGTGGGCACATCCCCAATGGAGGGTGTGCAGGAGGCAGCTGATCAATGTTTCTGTCTCATCGATGTTTCTAACTCTGTCCCTCTCCCTTCCTCTGTAAAATATCATTAAAATATAATTTTTTTAAAAAAAAATGTGGTACATCTACACAATGCAATACTACGCTGCGGTAAAAAAGGAGTTCCTACCATTTGCAACAACATGGATGGAGATGGAGAGCATTATGCTAAGTGAAATAAGCCAGGCACAGAAAGATAAACATCACATAATCTCACTCATTTCTGCAATTTAATGAACGGTATAGACTGATGAACAAGAACAGACCCAGAGACTGAGTAAAGTCGACCAGAACCTCAACCCTCGGGAAGGAGGGGGTCGGTGGGAGGAAGCGGGAGAGATCAACCAAGGGACCTGTGTGCATACATATGAGCCTAATCAATGGACACAGATAATAGGGGGGTGGAGTATGCGTGGAAGGTAGAAGGTAATGGGAGGATAAGGACACATATGTAAAATAATAATAATAATAATAATGAAATAAAAAAGAAAATGTGAGGTAACCGAAACCCCAAGAACACCTTAGAACGTCTTTCCTGCCATGCTAGTAGTCATCAGCTGTAAGGTAATATCTGGAGCAAATGGGAAAGTATTTTGGGAAAGTCTCCCTTCATGAGTGGGAGACCTTACGTGGGCGGATCCCGCGGCCCAATGTAGTCAATGATTATTCCAAACAACTTGGTCATCCAGGAGGACCATGGGTGGGGCAAGGAAGTATAATTACAAAGGGGTCACCACCCAGCTTCCCTTGACACAAAGTCAAACCACTGCTCCTTTGTGTGTAAAATTAAAGAGAGTTTTCTGGCTTGTGTGGACACCAAAGGAAGGGCCTATCACTACTTCCTCCTGGGAGAGGTGCAGAAAATGTAACTAAGACCTTGTCTATACAAAAAGAAATTGACAGCCAGTTTGAAATGGAATTGCCATGGCCTAGAGTAGGTGTGTCGAACTCAATCAGAGAAGGGGCCAAAATCTAAAATCCAGCCTAAATCGCGGGCCGAATGGTTTACTGAACAGTCATAAACTGTCATTGTGATGGAAACGCAGCGGAGTGCAGTGATGACATTGCAAGGCCTGGCGGGACGGATTTGGCCCGAGGGCCTTGTGTTTGACACATGTGGCCTAGAGCAAAGAATATCCTTACATGATATCATTCTACAATGTCATTATAAATTTCCCCAGATTTGTGTTACCCTCATTTGTTACACTTGGGAATCAATAAAAAAAAATCATCCTTTTGGTGCTTGGAGACAAAATATCTCCTGATATTTTAGAATTACAACAGCATAATGTACAATTATCCCCCCCAAAAAAACTTAAAAAGCAATTATTTGAAGGTCTAACAGCAATTTAAAAAGGACATGAGCTGAAACGGTTTGGTTTTGTGGATAGAGCGTCGGCCGGTAGACTGAAAGGTCCCAGGTTCAATTCCGGTCAAGGGCATGTACAATGGTTGCGGGCACATCCCCAGTGAAGGGTTTGCAGGAGGCACCTGGTTGATGTTTCTCTCTCATCAATGTTTCTAAGCTCTCTATCCTCCCTTCTCTGTAAACAAAAAAACAAAAAGAATAAAATATACTTTTTTTAAAAGGACATGAAAGGATTTAATCCTTTGTACTATGTAGAGGGTCCCCTGGGAAGGCACCTGAGCATTCTATATTGGCCTCTCTTGCCCTTTTGGCCAAGAGGGACCCGCTTCTCACGGTCCAGTTCCCCACAGCTGTTGCCTGAGATTTCAGTTCATGCCGAGGTTGAAGCATCATAGGAGCTGGTCTATGGATCTATTTCTAGCCCAGTGGGGTGGGCTGGCCCGCCCAGGAGAAGAAACCTGGGTTCCCCAAGATATGAGATCAGTGTTGGGGCCTCGCCATTAGGCGAGGGGATCCCAAGGAATGTGCTGGGCGTGGAGGCCACGGGGGCGTAGGCTACCAAAGAGACAGAAGTGAACCTCACATCACCCTGCTTAGCACCAGAGGATGGCTGGTTAGCCAGAGATGGGTAAGATTCCTTAGGGAAGGAACAATCTAAGACAGGCACAGTTGCAGAGGGGCCAGCAGGAGAGAACTTGGGGGTCAACAGAGATGGGACACAGACCCTCCACCTCTCCCCCCAACTTTGCAGGGGCCTGATTTTTCACTCATTCTGAGGGAGGTCTCCTGCCCCCATGGCTGCTTCGCTCCCCATGCCCAGGTCAAATCGGGACCCAGGTAATACACAGAGACTTGGCTGACAGCAGCTGCCTCTCACGAGATGCAACAAGACTTGTTTGAGAGGTCTTGTACCCATGGTGTGGGGAAGTGGGTTTTTTATAGCCAAATACAGCCTAGTACCAGGAATGCTCAGGGCCTACTCAAGAAGGCAAATAATCCTTTCCACTAATATACACAGGGTAAAATAAGATTGTTGTTAGAGTGTTGAGATTGACAGTAGAATAGTCAAGTTTTCAGAGTAATTTAAATTTGCTAATTGAAATAAGCGAATATTCTACAAAAATTAATTGTACAGTACAAAAAGCTATTCCTAAAGTATTAACAAAAATTTTTATTGGCAGTTCATCTCATGGTAAAATTGCATAACATGTAATGAACCTAAAGCAGTCATATTTTAGTGCAAAAAAACCCATAAAATTTAAAAGCTATCAAGACTACATTATAAAATTTCCAAAAGCCTCCTAATATCTAAACAAAAAAGAGGGGATAGTAGAGGAATATCATGTAAGGAAAAATATCCTGTAAGTAAATTACATCTAGAAAATTTGTACTTTAGAAACTAAACTTTCATTTGTAATGCTAACAGCAAGACACCCATGAAAAACACACATGGTGTCAAAGCAAGCCAGAGGAAAATCATTTGGGCAAAAAATGAAAAAGGATCCCAAGTCAAATTTATAAAAAATATTCCTTTACTAACTTCTAGTTGAGAATATGTTTGTATATTTTCAGAAAAGAACTCCAAGACCATGTGGATTCCTGCAACAGAGAGGAATTGGCAGGAGTGCCCCAGCCATAAAGACAGAAGAGAATCAGTCCAGAGATGAAAGACGCTGATAACGTCTTGCCATACTAGCAGACAGCAGCTGTGTGTCGCTGAAGGATGCCAAGGACCAAACGAGAGATGGTTGGA